GGTTTCTTGCAACTTTGGCTAGATAGCCATAGTACTTCTTCCGAGATCCCGACAGCCATCTGGCACTGGCACGGCTATAACTCCCACCAGTGATCCAGCTTAGCACACTGGCAAGACCACAACGACTCACCTCCGACCAATCGCGCATGTTCAGAGAAACTACGAGTAGTACTTGCCTCCAGCCCCGCCCACTGAGTTTCAAAGTTGTTCCCGTGCCAAACCAAAGCACGCACTTCAGTCTTCAGGGCTAATCCCAGGATGGCCTTCTCCCAGAGCCCCCTGGATATCATGACCTCAGAGAGCAAGGCCGCTCAAACTCAAACTTGAGCGTAGTAGGGTGCGGTGCGCTCCATGCTACACAGTTATAACACCTTTGCGGGGGTTACTAATGGCAAGGTTCAAGACGTCGGGGAGGTCGGGAAGCCCCCACGTCCTGCCGGATTCAATCAGCCTGATTGTCTCTTCTTCTGTGGACTCTCTCGAACGTGCAATTGTGACCCCTGTCTAAAATGGCTTGGCTCGTTCGTGTTGCATCCCGTGATGCTGAATTCGTGAACCTCGTGTTCATGAATGTCTTCTGTCGGCTCGTATTTTTAGCAGTCACCTTCCGAATTGAGGTGCGAGGAACGTTTATCACGAGTCACGACAGCAGCTCCGCAACCTTGAAAGTTAACCCGCATCCGACAGATATCACACAAACAAATCTTGAAGCCTGTCACTACTTCGTGACTGTTCGTCCAAAGAACAATGGTAACGTCGAAATAGGTCAAGCTCAAGTTCTCGGCCACTGACGCTTTCTACCGTACGTGTTGCCTTTGCATATCAAAAATCTTCACCGTGGAATGATGAACATCGATCTTGCAGCTTCTGATGCCATGATTTTGTGCACAATACAGCATTCTTTCCCAACGTTGCAGTGCATGTGCACCTGTCCCACGCGTCTCCTCCAGAAAGATCGTGGCCCTGACAGCCCTCATCATATGGCTGTAGGGACTTCTGCCGCGGTTTCCATTTATGTGTCGCTGCAAGATTGCCCCATAAAATCAGGATGTGCGGGCGAGAGATAGTCAAGTTTCAGGTCGATTGCCCCTCCCTTGCATCTCTGGGAAGCACGCTGCCGCAATGTCCGCTATTCTTGCCACTGCCCTTCTCGGTGTTGCTGCCGTCCAGGCCTCTCCCGCTCTGTCCGCACGGCAAAGCATTACTGCCCTGACGACGACGCAGATTGACTCGTATACCACTTACACATACTACGCAAGCGCAGGTTACTGTACGCCTGCTCAAACCCTCGCATGGAACTGTGGAAGTATGTGGAGAAGCATCTTGCTCGACGCGGTACTAGGACCGTAGCTGACCCACACTTAACAGCCAACTGTGCGGCCAACCCCGACTTCGAGCCAGTTGCATCTGGTGGCAATGGCGACTCTGTTCAATACTGTAAGATTCCACCCTTCGCCTATCACGAACATGACAGCGAACTGTGGTGCTGACTCATGGGACTCTACGACATTAAGGGTATGTTGGGTATGATCCGAGTCTCGATACGGTCATCGTCTCGCATCAAGGGACAAATCCATCCGAGATGTAAGAGCCAAATCAAACCTTCGATGTTTTAGAACTATTCTAAATATCGATTCTTGTCCCCTTCCAGCTTGCCCCTCATCACCGATGCGGACTTTTTCCTTACCAACTTGGACTCGACACTCTTCCCAGGGATAAGCTCAGACATTGAAGTCCATAGCGGTTTCAAAGATTCCCAGGCTGAGTACGTTCCCTCCATCATCCCTTATTACCAGATCAGAAGCATACTGATCAATCAAACCACCATCGCAGCACTGCCACGGATGTTCTCGCAGCCGTACAAACAACTATGTCGAAGTACAGCACCACATCTGTGACGATGGTTGGCCACTCTCTCGGTAAGTCTGCGATCGCTGTTCTGAGACTTGGCGGGCCTGCTAACGCCGTAGCCTTTGTGTCAAATAGGTGCCGCGATCACTTTGCTCGACTCTGTCTACCTCCCTCTCCACCTTCCCGCTGGAACGACATTCAAGACGGTTGGTTACGGTCTCCCGCGCGTCGGAAACCAGGCCTTTGCGAACTACGTCGATGCCAACCTTTACCTCACCCACATCAACAACGAGGAAGACCCGATCCCGATTTGCCCCGGTATGTTCTTGGGCTTCGTTCACCCGGCTGGCGAGGTGCACATCCAGGACTCTGGCGAGTGGGCGGCTTGCCCAGGTAGGCCTTCTATGAAACGACAATATCCGACGCCACGTTATTGACATGATACTTTCCTTCTAGGCCAGGATAACCCGAGCACGCAGTGCATCGTTGGCGACGTCCCTAACATCTTCGAATCTGACGAGTCGGACCACGACGGCCCTTACAACGGTGTCGAGATGGGCTGCTGAAGAGGCCGTGTCGGCGACAATAGGCGATGGTTGAATTGATGAGCGTGATCAATGATAGATCGCATGAAACGGTGCCGCTTTGTTCCTTGTTTTCGAGTTTAGTTATGGGTAAGATTATGGATGTGGGTATAGGGTTCAACGTTATTTGAACGTTGCTTGTTGTCACCAATCACGGTGAGCCGGTGTTCCATCATTCGACAGGATTGCATCCCAGTGTTGCCTGTAAGCGGCAATGGGCTCCTTTGAGGATGTGTAATCCAAGGGGCGTTGCTGAGAGGGAAGTTGACCCTTTGGTGGTGAACGATCAGCGCTCAGCATCAATACTCACCCAGATGCCACCGGCCGCCAGGAATAGGTACACACCTCATCTAAGAGCACTGAAGCCAGGCAGCAAGCATATAGATATCCTCGGGATTGGCGCAGTGCGCCGGACTGGATCACAACATACAGGAAAAGAAGGCCGGGTGATCCTTTATTAAGGCGACGGGGATATGTTGCTGATTGCACTTACTACCAGAGAGTGGATTGGACAAGTCAGTCCGGAATCATTGACCAGCAGGGGGAATAGGAGCCTGAGAACATCAAAGGCGCCGAGGTCGGCGCCCGAGACCCAAAAAGTGAGGACGACATCATATCGCCCAAACTCTGTGAATATGAGACAATGGGAGGAATTGATCTCTAAATCGAACCACGATGGGGTGCTGTGGACGCGATCGTATTCGATCTGTACGTGACCAACTCGCCTCGATGAATGGGCATTCGCTCGCAAGTTTTCGGTGTCCTCTGGGCTGTTGATACAGTATCAGTACTCCAAGTGGGTTCGCCCTGAGTTCTTTATAAGAGCAGTATACCGCAAAAGCCTGATGGCGGGGCGTTCAGATAGAGAGCCTCCCGAACACCTGCAATAACGACGAAACGACGAGATGCGGAGACGAGATCTGAGATCACAGTGCATGTCGCCGGAACACAGGTTAATACCCTGGTCCGGAGTGAGCTGAAAGAGCAGTTTACCTTTATGATAAATTGAGAACGAAGAAGGCAAGATCAGCAGTACTAGTGGCACCACCACCATCATGAGCATAATATTAATATGCAATTGACTTCTTCCATCACGTGATAGCTGTCGCGCGACGCACCTTCGTGTTGCAGTGTGCACTCCGCGTTGTAAATGAAAGTAGCCCCGCACAACAATACGCCGCTCTGACAAGCACTGGAGTCGCGATAAATATTCTGCTAGATGAAAGAGGCATAATTGACCATTGTATCACCACGAAAGCACTACTGAAAACATAGCAGACATAGACAGGTCCGAGTGGGAAGAGGAGTATTGATATACTGGTGAGACGAGTCTTGGGGACGAAGCGAGATGGGATAGGACGACGAGAGGAGTGCGTAGCAAAGACATAGTGCGAGAGCAGTCAAGGAAATTAGGCTTAGGACAGTAAATATAAATAAGTGAGAAAGGAACTCGAGGGATGGACAAGAACAAGCTGACAATGCAGATGCGACCACGCGCTTCCGTTGCGTTATACAATGATGGATGGTGGACATCAAGTCCCATCAAGTCCTATCGTTTTAGTTTTCTTTCATCTCCTCGTCGATTATGTCTCCATAATACCCCGTCCGCTCGGGGATAGCGGGGCTAGACGTGAGAGAAGGAGACATCTTGAATGACATCTTCGGCGCGTAGTCCGGACTTAGCAGAGTGGGCGAAGGCAGTGTGGGTGAGAATAGGTTCCCCACGTTGTCGGTGACCGAGAGTCGCGCAGAGAGAGGCTGGCGAGGAACAGGAACAAGGATAGCAGGTGGTGCTAGTCTGCTGGCGTATTTTGCCGTTGGTGAGGGTGGGGGAAGTGCAGGAAGTGGTGCTGTGGGTGGAGGTGCGAGGGGGACCGTACGGCGGACAGCTCGACGCGTTCTGGGCTAGTCGTTAGTAAATGACACCCAAAATCATATTAGTGGCACTCACCGAAGGGGCGCACCCACGACACCACCAACACTACCGCTCCTCAACCTTCCAAAGAGACTGTTATTCTCAGATGCTTCGTTCGTGCTAACACTGCCAGCACGGCTCCGTGTAGGAGACATGATTCCTGTCCGTTGAAGAGCAGCACCTGCGTTTCGAGACGGTGATTTGATTAGAGCCATTGGGCTCGCTCCGATTTTGATGCTGGAGCGACGTCTACGCATACGAGGGCGGTCACCGTTAATGTGTGCCTCGCTAGCCTTTGTGCATGGGCTGTGGCCGATGGGAGTTGGTGTAACGCTCAATTGACGGTCAGTAGGGTCAGCAGGGCTAGCTGACATGAGCATCGGCGAAGATGGTGGTACGGGAGTCGTGGCTCTGGCGACGTAGGGCGCGAGGAGGCCAGACGAGAAAAAGGCAGAATATGTAGCCATCGTTGTTCGAGCAGAACGTCGTGTTTTCACGTCCTTTTGTTTTGAGGGAACCGTTGCAAGTTGATCAATTTGATGGAACAAGTTCAACTTTCATTTCTACTTTAATAATCCGCTTCTTGATAACGGTGAATTACATAATCCAGTCCACATTAAGAAAACAAAAACAAAAAAATGCAAGTTATCTGGCCAGCATGGGGGTCGAACCCAGGACCTTCGCGTAGGACGTGGCCCAAGGCAGTCACGTGTTGCCAAGCAACCGCCCAGGTCAAGTATTAGCACGACGCTCTAACCAACTGAGCTAGCCGGCCATTGCGTAGCTCAGCCCACTGTACTGCTGATATTCCTCGGGTACCAAATTCGACGCAGACCGTCTCCTCGTTCGTCGCCCACTGAGTCTTGGTTGTTGACTTGTCCGCCATGTTCTTCATCGCGAGTACCTCGTTTCTCCTACCATAATGGTTGCTAAAGGTTCATTTAGAAAGAACTGACGCACACAATCCTCCTCCATCCCTCCTACTTTGGGCCGCGTATGCTCCAGTTCCTGGAGTCCAAACTTTACGCAGATGTCGAAGGCACATGTTCAGGTGCATTCGGGTATATCATCGCCGTCGTCTCCATCCTCGACATCGGGAAAGGAATGGTCATCAGTGGGAGCGGTCAGGCAGAGTTCATAACGCGATACCGCGCAATCGTGTTCAAGCCATTCAAGGGAGAAGTTGTGGATGGCGTTGTGAACAACGTGAATAAGGTGCGCAGAGGATCTATGAACTCAGTTGGATTTTTCTTGAATGGCGCTGATGTACGGCTGTAGATGGGCTTTTTCGCGGATGTAGGACCGCTGACGGTCTTTGTATCGCATCAAGTTGAAGCGTTCACCTCTGAAGTTTGTTTCCTCGCTAATGCCCTCCCTAGCTCATACATCCGGACATGAAATTTGATCCAAACTCGAACCCACCTTCGTTTGCTTCCGATGATCAAGTACGTGGTCCTTTTCTTACCACTTTGCGTGTCTTCAACGACAGGGGGTTGTTGCCAGATTATCGAGAAAAACACTCGCGTCAGACTAAAAATCGTAGGCACGCGTGTCGACGCAACAGAAATTGTGCGTTCCCCTCCTTTCTTTTTGATCCCCGCCAAATGACATTCGGTCGTCAAAGTTTGCCATCGGGACAATCAAGGAAGATCATTTGGGTGTGATAGACTAAACGGACAGATGTTATCCCGCCGAATGCTTCTTTCGTGTACCCGCCATGCTGCCACCCACCACCAGTTTTTGCTCGCAACTTGTGCTCGCCATGGATCACAGCGCTAGGTGTTGCTTGGTACTACGAGGCGCTCTAGTAGAGGACATGTATGCCAGGTCCGACGGTCGTGTCAGGTTGGTCAATCACTGTCCCACTTATGCGTATGTGGGCCGCTAGGGGTCTGCCTGATAAAAATACTCCTTCATGGGCGTTCGTTGATCGTGAAAATGGAATACGGCCTTTTGAATGCGCACCCCCAGTGTCGCCATATATACGTTCAACCCTGGAAATCACTCTTTTCGCGCTTCCGCGTGAGGATAGGGCGAGGCGACGATGACTGACTTGGCCGGATTTGGTGATCACCGGTTTAACAACGGCTGCCCACCACAGCCTGGCCTGCTTTGATTAATTACTGTTGCGTTCCAGTGGCAGTGGCCCGGGGCGTGGGGAACGGAACGCTCTCGAGCCGGAGGCGAGAGGTGTACACATGTATGGAGTTCATGATAGCGTCGTGTAACACATGCTAGGCTTTTTTTACCCCCGGAGACTGTGCGAGCGATCAAGTGGTACGTTTGTTACGAATGCTGGTGAAAAAGTAAAGAAAAGGAGTTACCCGGAACGATCATCGCGAGCCGGGGTAATCAGCGACCATGATGCCACCACGCTGAGCTTGTACAAGCGCCGTCGCTAGTGAGATCCTCGAACGGGTCCCACATGCATCGCCGTCCGCTAAACCGCCCTGCCAGTGTTCCCTCGCCTTGAAATCCTCATGGTTTGGGCTCATTGTCAGGCCCATCGGGGATCAGTACAACATGCGATACCACGCTAGATATAGGCAAGTTTACTCGTTCTGAGACACCTATGGCTATACAGGTTCAAGAGCTGCGTTCCACAATGCTCTCTCCTCCAAGGAAGTAGCTTTCAATGCAGCTAGTAGTCCATGTGCCGCAGGCACCAGGTCAGAGTTTTAGACCTTCCCGCCGCAGGAAGCCAGCTTATATTTAAACGCCTTAAGTATGTCCTCTAGGCTATCACTGTGCAAGCGCGTGATCATTGCTCAGAGTGCCCATGTGCATCCACCTGCAATCCCACAACCGTCGTCGTCGGCTCCCACAGTGATGCTGTTCTTGTTATAAACGACTAGGCAGACCATGCAACATGATTCCCCAGAATCATTCTCCCCGGCTCCCTCATCATGCAGTCGTTTGCTGTTCTCTTGTCTGCGATCCTCCTTGCGACGTCTGTCTCGGCGTCCTCATTCTTCAGCTTGCCGCTGACGAGGCTGGAGAGATCTGGCTCCTATCTCAAGGGATCTCCTGACGCAGATCGCGCGCGTGCTGCGTATCTGAAGAGTCGTGCTGCTAGCGGCCCGACTACCGTACCCGCGACCAACTTGGCATACGTCCAATACACCACGAGCGTCGGTATCGGCAGTCCCGCGACATACTACAACCTCGTCGTCGACACCGGCAGCTCAAACACTTTCTGCGGGTGAGTACGATGTTTTCGTCAAAGTGAGGGGCGGTTGTGCATCTCCGTTTAGCACCGGCACGACGTATGTCCGCACGTCGACGAGCTACCCCACTGGCGAGACTGTGAACGTTACATACGGAACTGGTTACTTCTCGGGGTTGGAGTGTATGTACCCGGTGCTCCTGCTTTCGACTCTTCGCCTGATCTTTTGGATTAGACTACGACCAGGTCACTCTCGCGCCCAACCTCGTCATCACCAACCAGTCCATCGGTGACGCTCTCTCCTACGCCGACTTCGAAGGTGTCGACGGTATCGTCGGCGTCGGACCCGTCGATCTCACGCAGGGAACGCTTTCCCCCGACACCAACGCCATGATCCCGACCGTGATGAACAACCTCATCTCGCAAGGCCTACTCGAGGAGCAGATCTTAGGCGTGTACTTCGCCCCCGCAACGAGCTACAGCGATACCAGTTGAGCCCTCCCTCCCTTCCGTCCATATCTGTCCCCGCCTGACCATCGCTACAGACGGCGCCCTGACGTACGGCGGCATCGACACGTCCTTGGTGAGATAAAGCATACATCGCGACCTGTTTCTTTTTTGACGGTGCTCATGTGTCGCGCAGTACGAGGGCGAGCTGACGTACACCCCCGTGACGGAGACGTACCCCGCTGCTTACTACTGGGGAATCAACGTCACCGAATCCACGTATGGCGCATACACCGTCATCCCTGCTTCAACCGCCGGTATCGTTGACACCGGCACCACGCGTACGTCCCTCCTTTCTCCCGTGCCGTCCGCCGCGGGGCTAATCCCAGCAACATAAACAGAGGTGCTCCTCGCGGATGATTTCTTCGCGGTGTATGTGGGCGCTATCCCAGGCGCTAAACTCGACGAGAACACAGGCCTCATCGAGATCCCCAAATCATCCATCGCATCCATGAAGTCCCTCGATTTTAGCATCGGCGGGACGGTCTTCAGCATGGACGTCGCTGCGCAGCTCATCCCGACCGACCAGAACACCGCCTGGGGCGGCGTCGCGAGCAAGCAGTACGGCGTTGTCGCTAACCTCGGGAGCAACAGCGGGGAGGGGCTCGATTTTATTATTGGGCAGAAGTTCATGGAGAGGTATTATGCTGTATGTGGTTTTCTTTTTTGGTGTGTGTGTTTCTTGCGAGGTGATGCTGATGGTGTTTTGGAAAGGTCTTCGATACGGATAGCAACCGCGTTGGGTTTGCTCAGACGTGAGTCCTTTTCCCTCACGCTTTTGTACTGGCCTTGATTTTGACTTGTTGCGTCGTAGTAACAACACTTACACGACTTACACCGCATAAATGATTTTTTTAACGTCGCTCGATAGATAACGATACTGTTGTAGATTCATTACGCGCAACTTCTTTGGTTTACTTATCATCAATGATTTCTGGACCCCCTTTAGGGTTTTCGGGTCTGTTGCGGTGTGATAGGATTCGGGTTTCAGCTGTGGCGTAGGGGTACGGCGCGGAAGGGGAACTCAAATTCGTATATTGAAAATATACCATCGTTGTGTGGCACGTATGTTTTTCTTGTCGTTGATCAATGCACCCCGTCTTCGTCGTCTCAGGGGGCGGGATGAGAAAGAGTCGAGAGATTGCCCGAGCGGGTTTGTGTAAAGTGAGCGCCGGCATAACTCTTCTCTATCGACGCAAATAAGAGCTTAGACTGAGGGGTGGGTCGAGGATGGCTGACGCCGGGCCCATGTTGGTGGATTTGCTTGTGAAAGAGGGCGCCGAGTGAGGAAGCAGTCAAAGAGGTTTTGTGCGACTGCTACTTCGTTGGGCAAGTGAGGAGGGGGATCATGTTTGAACTCGGTGTGCTGCGTGGTCGTAGCAGTAGCGGCTGCAGTGAGTGGACCTCCATATCGCTCGTCAATAGTCGCCTTGAGATTTCCAGCAGCTGGATGTCGGCGAATTCGAATTCGATCGGGGAAGGTGAGATAGCCGTTATCACGAATAATTCGGCCTGCGCGAATATATTCCTCAGCGACTGGGCAGTCACGCAGTAGGTGTGAGCCTCCACACAGATAGCAGAGTAGTGCGGCAAGCATAGCGAGACGAGTGCGTGACGTTCCCACAGAATTGGAAGTGGCGGATGCCTGAGAGTTACCCAGCTGACGAGAACTCGGTGGGAGCCAAGCTTGTGCTGCGGCGGGTGCGAGGCAAACGAGTCGTGTGTAAAAAGCAGAATATGAGGCATCTGCAATGTCGAGAGAGTGCATCTTTCGCGCAAGTTCTTCAACCTCATCGTACTGGGACTTTGTAAGCGCGGTCTGGTCGAGCGGGACTGACTTGGTATGGTCATCACGAGGAGCGTCTTTCTTGCGTGATTCGTGTTCGTGTTCGTCATCCGAATCTAGGACTACTCGAGGGCCCTTGCTTTTGGGGGTGCTCGTAGAGGTACCAGTTCCTCGACCGTCACGCATAGACTTAAGTCTGGCTGCGATCGGGTCGTCGAAATCGTCATCGAAAGCATCATCCGAGAGCACGAAGCGACCGGCCTCTAAGACGTTTTCGTAGTCAGTGGGCTCGTCGCGTGAGTAGTCGGCATTCTTC